TATTTAAATAAATAGGGTTTTACATACCTATCCTGTGTAACTTTATTTCAGGTTTCCAAGTTATATCCAACAGTCTGCGCTGACGGTCGATCTCTTCTTCGTACTCGACGATAGTTTTCTCTATAACTCCGAATATTTCTTCAGCAGCAGCAGTTAGTCTCTCGTTGATAAACCCTCTCAAATACTGAACTGAAGACATTGTTGCTAAACTATAAAATGAATAATTACCTGTGTTATGACCTAAAAGCCTTCCCCCAGCTCATTCTGTAGATGAACAGAGCTAACGCTGCTCACGCTTCCTTTGTTTAACGTTACTACTTCTTCTTCTTCTTCTTCTTCTTCTTCTTCTTCTTCTTCTTCTTCTTCTTCTTCTTCTTCTTCTTCGTTTCCGGCAGTATCGACGCTACTTGGCGTATTACTGCCCTCCACTGGACAAAGTCTTTTTATATTCTCACATACAACTCTGCTTCACGCAGGAACTGTAAGGCAGCTCTTGTAATCATCTGATGAGTCTCACCCTGCCCGAGAATAGATTTAACAGAAAATGTCTCAACACCCAGCTCTGACAACTGACAAATAATACCTTCTTCTAGTCTCCTTTTCCCACAGTTCCTGCCATTCTTTTTCAACACCCTCTTTGATTATTTCTCTCAGTTCCACTCTTCTCGGAGATATATTTAAATCTATTACGTCTTTCTGCAGGGTTGCCTTTGCTATAGAATCTGCAATTTCATTTCCCTCAACTCCAGCATGTCCAGGAACCCAACAAAACTTGACTTCACACCCAGTCTTTCCAACTCTAATCAGAACAGACAATATTTCTTTAACAAGAAATATTGTCTGTTCTGATAAAACTTGACTTCACACCCAGTCTTTCCAACTCTAATCAGAACAGACAATATTTCTTTAACAAGATCAGGCCGAGTTTTCAATTTACCTCCTCTTAAGGCCATCAGAGCAGCTGCTGAGTCCAAACAAATGAGAACTGATTTTGGTTTTATGTCCTTAGTCCACCACAGAGCCCAAAGAATCGCCAGTAATTCTGTAGTGAAAACAGAACTTCCATTTGTGATACGCTGATCAAACTTGAGTCCCAACTGAGCTACATACACCCCAAATCCTGCTTTCCCACTCTCTGGATCCTTAGAACCATCTGTGAAGATTTTCAAGTAATATTCCATAACGCTGTTAAGATATTGATCTAATTGTGGAGTTATCACAGTGTTATCTTTTTCTCGCAAAAAAGTGAGATCAACATCCGGCTCCTGCATTACCCAGTGAGGTACAGGTAACCAGCCTGCGTGTGTTGCTATGCTGTCCTGCTCCATTCCTAGTTTCGTGACCCATTGATGCACACTGTCAGTGAATGATCTGTACTTGACCCTGCCACCAGAATCCCATGGGTCTTGCAAGAGACACCTAGCTGGGAGTGCCTGATCAGATCATCTTAATTCTACCCAGTACTGCAGCCCCAACTTACTACGTCTTAAACATAAGGGCATTTCCCCCATTTCTATAGGCAGTGCAGGCACTGGTGAAATTTTAAATGCCCCACAGCAGAGTCTCAATGCCTTGGCTTGCAAAATGTCCAACTTCCCCAGCAGTGACTTAGCAGCAGATCAATATACATAACAACTGTAATCTATTATAGACCTTATCACTGCTTGATATATTAAATGCATAGTCTCTCTGCACCCCAATCACATCCAGCCAGACTTCTCATTACATTTATCACTTTTTCACATTTTGCCTGTGTTTTTGCAATATGAACAGCCCATGTCAGTCGTTCATCAAACCATAAACCCAGAAATTTAACTTTGACTCTCTCTAGCGAGGATCCATACATTTTCAATCCCAACTTAGGTATCTTTCTTTTGAATCCAAAAATCATACATTTTGTCTTCATGGCTGAGATTTTAAATCCCCACTTATCTGCCCATTCCTCTACAGAAACTAATGCCCTTTGAACTTGCTTTAAAGTGTACTCTATATTTCTCCCTCTTCTCCATATGGCCCCATCATCTGCAAATAAAGACTGCCCAAACCCTCTTCCAATGTTCCTGAAAATATCATTTATCATTATATTAAAAGAACGGGACTAATGACACTGCCTTGTGGCATGCCATTTTCAATTTCTATAATTTTGGACCTTGTCCCACTCACTTGTACTGTTCTTTTCATCAGAAAGTTTTTAATCAAATTA